GATGTTACTGATCTTTTTGTATTGAAGATTTACTGGCATCACCGATTTAAGGATGTTGGAAACCAACACGCAATATTACAAAACTTACTTTCAACACGCGGTTTGAATGAATGAAAAAGCTGAAACTAATATTCTTTAGAACAGCATACAAATTCTATGGAATGGAATCATACACAAAAACTCGTCAAAAACCTATAGCTCAATAATCAAGTGGAATTTGATGCATATGCGCAAAAATGTGCGCGTTACTACGTACAACCGGAGCACACAGGAAAATGTGTGTGATGTACTAGTATTCAAAACGTTTGACTCAACTATGTTGGCATAACAGGTGCACATCTCGGTTTCGCATACCTTCTATCTCCACAAGGATATATTAATTTTGCCAAAATCAATGCAGCTCTGAAAGATTGCGGTTCTTCCAAAAGAAAACACGTTACACATCTTTAGATACCAGTGGATGGTTTTACAAGGCCTTGTTCCTTGTTCGGAGTGAAAGACGAGGTCAAATATTCCAATCCAATTCAACTAATAAAATATTTCCCAAGTCCCTAAGCTTAAACTAGGAAAACGAAAAGCGCGGCAACGCAAATGTAGTTTGAAGAGCGCAATAGAAAGTGGCTAGATACTGTCGATGGATCTTGGCTTGTATTAGCGAAATAAGCTACCATTTATTCTACTAAAATTGAATTTCTGACATTGTAAGGAGATTCAATGTTACTATGCATTAGGCTTGCACGTAATTGACAAAAATCAATTCCGTAATTACGGCAAAATCAATTACGTAATGACCCCGTAATTGCGATATTTTTCCACGCATTTAAACCTATCATAACAACCAATTGAATTCACTTCTTTTCCGAATGGGACATTGAAGTTGGGTTTTCATATTCTTGGCAGTACTACACGCCATCGGCAGATGTTAAAGACAAATATCAAGGAGTGAATTCAAATTAATTTTATTCTGATTTTTATCTTTTGTGTTAGCTTTGATTTCCTTTATTACCTTCGCAAATTAACCGTCCCATTTTTATGCGATCAATTTTATTTTATCATTACCGACACTGGTATACGGTTATTTATGGAAACGATAGTTTTTTAAAACCACCTTAGTACTGAATAAAAATTAAGGGTTTCTAATTTATTAACCAACGACGAGCGTATTCACTCATTTGATTATACTTGCGATTTCCTCGCGACGAAGACTTGTTTTTGCAGCGTCTTCTGCATTATCCGACATTACTGCCTTGTTAGTATTTTATAATAATAATTATTGATGTCGACTTATTGACGATATTCCGATTACCATGCTTCATTTTACATTTAATCATTTCGCGGACTGAATGTTTTAAACATTATTTGCGATAAATTTAGATTAAATATTATTTATTTGAGTATAATTTAAATATCGAACTTATATGATATGCCTTCTCCGAAAATACAAAAGTTATATCGCAAAACAATGCATTTTGTGACATTTATTTTACACTCACGACATTTATTTGCTAACTCAAATCGGCGATCCTATCGGCCAAGATTGACACAAGTTTGGTCGAGTGCCGGTGGTATTCAAGTAGAGTAGACGATAAATCAAAATAAGTTGCCGCATTTGGTAAGACAGTTAATCATATATGGCCGAAATATTGAGAGGAATTGTGAAAAACATCATGCGCAAGGCCAAGTCCGGACTGATATATAACGATAAAACCGTTAACAGAACATCAAGATTTTGTAATAGAAAATGGATCTCGCACAGAATAAACACACTGGCTCATATTTGATTATATATGATAGCAGTTAAATTTTTTTGCGGTCCGCGAGGAATCCGTCGTTTTGCTGTTTCTCTGCCGTCTCAATCGCTTTATCGAAGCCGAGAAGACGAAGTTGCGTTGGTTCATTACGCAATCTCTCTTTTGTCGTCATATTGCTATTTGATAAGCGCGACATTAATTATCACGGCGAGGTATTGGCGCGAGTGATCAATCGTTCTTTTGGCTTATTTGGTTCCAATTCGTCGCGAAAGCTCTTCGTTAAATTTCACAAAATCGTCGTGTTGAAAGGTTATGGATATTTTCCTGTTTATACCCCAAGTCTGAAATAAAACAGCCAAAAACAGTATGATATTCCATGTTCATATATCAAGTGTTGATATTAACATTAAAGAATGGTTAAGCATTGCTAATCCACACTTGGTGGGGAATTCCCACTATTTAAACGCGTGACTATAAAATAAAATGAAATAGAAACGGAACATATATACCATAAGTAACGGAAAACTGGAACAAGTAAATAATAAATAAAAGTAAAATGGATACAAATGTTTGATAGACCATGTTTGAAAGATTGATCTCCTGCGTTCATTAGTCATTTCACCCGAAGAAGTTGAAACCGGGCGTGTTAGCGTCCATCGGTCTTAACACAATTCTTCCCCCTATCTACGGTTATTATGTACATTGGCCATGGCCATGCTAGATAAGATGCGAGAGAAGTTGAAACCAGGTGTGTTGGCGTCAATCGGTCTTAACGCAATTTTATCCCTTATCTACGGTTAAGTTACGGGAGAAGTTAAAACCAGGTGTGTTGGCGTCAATCGGTCTCAACGCAATTCTATCCCTTATCTACGGTTAAGTTACGGGAGAAGTTAAAACCAGGTGTGTTGGCGTCAAACGGCCCTACTCAGTTCTTCCCCCTTAACTACGTTAATAATTTACATTGGCCATGCCAGAGAAGTTAATAATAGGTTCGCGTCATGCCCTCCTTCACCTACGTAACAAGAGAGAGAAAAACGGCTGCGAATACCGGAACTCTAACTTCTACTTGTTGAGCTTTCATTTTTCGCAATCGACGAAATTGACTGCTTTGAAGAAAGCTCGTTTCAATGCAATAATTACGACTTTACGGAATTCGTAACTTCCCTTCCGTAACTCAAAATAATTACGTAATTCCGTAAATCCGTAAACTACGTGCAAGCCTACTATGCATGCGAAACTAAACCATGTAGTTATGAAATAATTGTTTTTAACAAAAGGGCGCTCCAGAAGTATTCGTACCAAGATGGCGCACAACCTGAATATTGTATGCTTACCAGGTGGGGGTTCAGGATGTGCGTCATCTTGGACCGAATACTTTAAATCCACTTAAAAAAAATTGCTCAACATTACATACTCCACACCCACCTGGGTATCATTATATATGTCATATACATTATATCTAAACAATAAAAAAAACTTTATGTCCCAAAACAATGTTAATGCCCGATTCTGCCGGACTATAAATGAATATACAAAATGTACATAACATAGTGAACAGAAATATCACAATTAATCTTTTTTTAGTTTATGTGGTTATGTATTTGAACAAAGGCAATATTATTTCTAGAAATAGAACTACGACACTAACAAATAAATGATACTTATTAAATCAACTGCAGTATCTATTTCACTTTCTTCTGAAATGTTTTCGAAATCCACTATCTCGAAAATCGATTTTTCCTCTAAAAGTGTACCGTGATTTTTGCAGTCAATACAAAAACAGAAATCTGTGCAATTTAAGTTGATTTTGGCACACTTGCATAAATTATTTTGACTATTTTTCTTACACTTGCAGTTTGCCAACTCAAGAACTGATTTGAGGGCCACATGCTTCTTTAGTGAATCATTGTTGGGTGGGAGAGTATAATCCTTATGTTTGCCAGTGTTAAATAGACGTGCCCTGGTATCATTTACATTCTTCATATCCTCTTCATACAGTGAACAAACAAATTCCTCAGCTTTATTTATTAATGCCTCGTTAACCTCAAGTGATCTTCAAAGTTGAGAAAAAAATGAATTGAAAACCTCAATGAAGTCTCCAACATGAGTTTGATGGGCAGTTCCAATTGCAGAAAAGTGCTAAAGTATTTCAATATGAATAAATAGCCCATCTAAGCTGTTTGCAACTATTATGATTCTCTTATACCTTCACGCTTCAAGACTTCTTGTTTAATCCATTTTATATTCAACATGAGTTTGATGGGCAGTTCCAATTGCAGAAAAGTGCTAAAGTATTTCAATATGAATAAATAGCCCATCTAAGCTGTTTGCAACTATTATGATTCTCTTATACCTTCACGCTTCAAGACTTCTTGTTTAATCCATTTTATAGCACTGATAGCAGCAGGGATTAGAGCCTGCGTTAGGTCGGATTGGTGGAACATTGCCGTTTTCTTTTGTAGTACAGTATCTAAAATAAGGAAGAAAATCATATTTGGAACAGCATGAGTGTAAAAATACCACTAAATACTAACAAATACCTTGAATACATAATACATTTTATATGATGTACTCAATGAGCGTATATATGCACAAATAATAACTGAAAAAACTATGGAAAGGCTACTCAACGCAAAAGCGAGCAGTAGTAGTACATCTGATATTCATCCGACCACTGGGGATCCACCTACAGCTGACTAATTTAATTGTTACGTCATGCAGAAGTCTGCGTTCATTGGCCCCTGATACCGGAAAAGCAGAGAAAATAGGACAGATGGTAACACATATTTATTGTAGTAAAAACGTCTTTTCTGTAAAACGTGCAGCTTTTGGAAGTGGGAACAAGGCAATATTTTTTACTAAATTTCTAAGGAACATTTTAAAATTATTTTCAGGTAGTTACCTTATGTGCGCTACGAAACTGAAAGATAAATGGCCTCGGCTCGCGGCCTAAAATGTTCTGGTGCTACTGCGCAATTGCGCGGCTTAGAGGGAACCTTGGTCAGTGGTCAAATTGTTTTTAGGGTATAGTTTTATTGGTGACCTAAGTTGCGATATATACAAGTTTTAAACTTATATGTATATCTACCTATTGATTCACGACAATTTCAGTGCCGAATTCGCAGGACTGTAGAACTAGAAATTGGACAATTTGGATGCCAAATTGGAAGAAGATTATGTTATACGACGTTTTTCCAGTCCACTCACTCACTGCTGTCCAAGATCTGTATAGGCATTCCACATGTATTAATCGAATTACCATATTATGAAAGCCCTATGATAGTAGTTTCAAAACTGTACAATTATTTCAAACAAACTTTTTGAATTAGATATTTGAACCTTGTGCGTCGCTGGTCGCTGCTCGATAACCAAAGCCCTTGCTCTATAACCAGCCTTTTATCCCCGCGACTTCCCCCCTTTTCCAGTATTCATGGTAAAACTGTATAAATTATCATATTCTCGTAATTTGAGCTTGTGATATTTTTTTACTGATTGGAAAAAATTAACTCGACTTAATAAAATTAAACTTGCGCCAGTACTGGTACCGTACTTCTTTCTTTTTTGCTCCGACTTGACTGGGTTATTTTCAATTTTGATATTTGGGAGTATTACCTTTATCTGTTTTTTTGTGAAATTGCTCCTTGTACTCTGCAACCAGTTTGCTAGTTTTGTCGTGAGCAGGTGACCTCGCAGTAAACATCTGCCGTGTTGTATGACCTATTTCAGTATTTGCATAGTCGCGGTAAACCTAGGCTACTTTTCGTATAGTCTAGTTATACTGGTACAGTGGTTCCGTACGGTACGGTCTGACGGTATAAGGTTGTCGATTTGTTTGTTTCTGCGTTTACCGTTCACTGTTTCTCTCGCCTGTTTCTGCATTCTGTGATGTTCAAGACTTCCTATCATTGCCTGTAACTCAGTACCGGTACCGTAACTGGTGGAATCAGTGGAGGTTAGGATGTTTAAAAAAGAACGTTCAAAGAAATCAATCAAAAAGGAAAATGAAGACACTTCGTGGATTGTTGAAGGCATAGTTGCATATTTGAGAAGTCCAATGTGGACGGTTCCAGTTTTAAATTTTGTAGAAGAATGCTGTGGAGGTGGGTAAAGTTTATTTACATAGCACAAATGTATAATACCATTTATTCACTACAGAGTTAGGAGATCATTTCTCTTGAAGCAGTGTGGTGATGTCTTAAGAACAGTAAGAATGCCTTTTATTGTAAAATTATCATTTTTTATTGTGGTTCCAAACGGTTAGGTACACAAGTTTGATTTCTAGCTATCTAGTCTGAATAGTGGTTACTAACTTAAGACTGTAAGTTAACCAGCTCGTCACTTTCTGACTGATCTGATGTCTTAATACTGTGCTGCTGTAGGAGACTAGTTGAGTGCTAATACGGTAATACTGTAATGAAAATATACAAGTTAGTTAACCAGTGTAAACTGACTCTTGTAAAATCTAACCTATAATTAGTAGAACAAAATTATGCTATTTTTTTCACAGAATTTATTGACAGCGAAGAAAATAAATTTGAGTATACTGAAATTCATCAAAGATATAAAAAAATGGTAAGAAAGTTACTCATGATTTCATGCTCACAGTCTTCATTTTTTTCCCAATAATTAGTAACATCTTTAAATTAAAATTATGATTTAATTCTTAATAATCTCTTGATTCATATATTGGATTTGGATATTACAGGTTGAGGAATTACTGGCAAAGTACATGAAGGAATTAGAATTAACGGAATCCCAGTTTTCAGAAGCTTGTTCTATAAATAACAGAGACATTGCAAAGTTAGATGTAAGTATCTGTCTCATGGCTGTTAAATTTCATCTGTGAAAAATGTATCCTGTTGCGTTTATGTAGCCTATTATTGATAAGTTATTAGCATTTCTGAGAAATTTTTGAATTTGCATGCTGAAAGTTTTTCAAACAACTTTGAATATCCCATTTATTTGATATTGATTCGAATTGCTTAAATTATCCGTTGCATAAATATCTAAACACGTAAGATTTGCTTCATGCATATTTACATAAAATACTTTGAAACCAGCAGGTAAATAAAAGTGTCAAAAATAGCTTCAACTTGCACCTGTCATTCAATGTAATGTGCGGTTATAATTGTGTCCAATTGCATATACTATAATGGACAAGTCAAATTGTATATACTATAATGGACAAGAGGCTGTGGTACGTCATATGATTGAGCCATTTTATTGTCTTTCCTACCCTCCGAGATAGATATGAAAATCCCGTCATAAATTACCCTGGTTAGGCAAGCAGTTCAGTGCCTAACACTTAGACATATTCTTCTTTTAAGGGCAATTTTGAATATATTTGGGCTGCTGATGATTTTTTATTATTTAAACGACTAATGCTGAAATACAATGCTGAAGTACAAAGAGAAGCGTTGAATATGCTTCAACAAAATTATGCAGGTTAGTCATCGGTGAATCTATTTCATTGTGAAAGTTATTCTAATTGTGTTGAAATGAGATGATAATGCCTCACACAGTTGATGTTTAATTGACCAAAAACAATGTGATTTCTTAATTGTTTTGACTTATATTTGATTTGATACTTCACACCTACCTATTTCCAAATTTCTTGTAGTCAAACTTGGTTTGTTAACAGATTTTAATATGTTAAATCACTTATTATCTCTAGATAATGTGAAATATGTAAATACTTCAATGTTTGTATTACCTTATCTAGTATCATCATCTGGTCAAACAACATTGTTTGTTTTTTACGTATTTAAACTATCAGGTTCTGAGAAGAATGAACTTATGTATACTGAGGAAAATACAAAAGCCATGGATAAAATGCTCAAGTAAGAGTTGTCTACATTTAAATACATATACACAGGATAGGATGTGGGTTTGTTCTAGTCAGTGAATATTGATTGTGGAGGGAAACTATGGTTTTTTAGATAAGTATGATTGCTTTGGACTGATCTTTCTAAATGCTCAGTAGTTATGTGAAGATGTAAGCATCTCCGATTCTCAACCAGTTGGCCATGGCTCATGGGCCACAGAAACATTTTCTGGAAGGCCACAAATTGATTAAAATGGCTGGAGTTATTACTTATCGATCTTAAGATCTGTAAGTATGTTTATAGGTATTTGTCTGTTTGTCTGTTAGACACTTTCGTATGTTACGCGATATTTCATGAAAGCGATGTTGAATCTCTTCCAAATTTTCGGACCAGAAGCCTATTTATTTTGGATGAATTATGTCGTATAATTAGCGAGTTATTGATTAATTAGTGATGGGACACACGTTGTCGCTGTGGAGTGAGAGCGGATGAATCGAAACCGCAGTTTCTGTTTTGGGGGAACCCCTAACTTTCGATCGATAAGTCTTCGGTCCCTGACCATATTCTCATTGATGAATTAGTTGGACTTTGATTGTAGTAGCAATGAATGATGATGCTGTTTTTTGCTACTGAGTGGCAATTCTCATATTAATTATTATAGTGGATGTGACTATCTTTGCGAAAAGAAATTATTGTTTTTTTCCTGTAGTTTTTCCCCTGCATGAGAAAGTAGATGGGCTAAGGAATTTTTGTGCAAATAAAGTTGGCCACGAATGAAAAAAGGTTGAGAACCACTGCAGACCTAGAAAAAGACATTTATTTACTTTCAAGTCTGTAGAACTTGTGACTGCCATTTTTTACCACAAAATTTGCTATTTTATAAAAATGCGATATATAACATATTCCTTCTTCAATTCCTGCCAATACCAACTTCATATACACATATTATATTTTGCATTGCTTTTTTGTTCAAATAAGCCTATGTTAGGGCGTTCACTTGTAGATTCTGAAATTAAAGACAGATTGATAGAATTTATCTATGGCCACCCATGCAAACCAGTTAGAAAATTATTGCTGAAATCATGTTCAAGGTAATTAAATCACCTTATAGGTGATTATTCATTATCTATATTTCATGTCAGCATATTTTGATCCTTATTCCTATCTCATATTTGAAGGAAATCCAAGCATTCTCTGAAAAATAGGAAGTTGCAAAAGCAAGAGAAGGAAGATATGGAACTCGCAATACAATTTTCTAAAATGGAGATGGAAAGATTGAATGTTCTTGTTGAAGAGGAACATAAACTCCTCGAAGAGGTTTGTTTATCAACTTGATCTCATTATTTTGAAAACTCATTCCAACATTTTTTTTTCTATTTTTCCTGAATATGGAGATTTGATGGTTTAATCATTTGGTAAACCACATTTTTTGTACGGCTACTAGTCCAGGTCGGTAGTGGTAATATTTGACTGTTTAATTGTTCTTGGACCTGGATGGTTCTGCATGGATGTACATAGAGGACCAGCACTGTCAAGTGTCAAGACACTTTTGTAGCATATAATCAGCTTCTATGAGATTTGAACCTGTTAACAAATGATTGGTAATGAACGCTTTTTTATTTAAAGGCGATCAGGTTATCACTGGAATCATCCATGTCACTTTCAAATGATGCAAGTGCAACTCAAACTCACCTTTCTACAAAGAAATCTGGGGAATCAATATCCCTCACAAAACCAGGTGAGGAGAGTTACTTGCAACAATCTATTTTGAAGGATCACTATAATTAGTATTAAACTGATTTCAATCTCAATTAAATAGCAAGCTGCCAAATAAACTGACATAAAAACTTGCAACTTAGAAGTTCTCTAAATCAGTCCAAGTGTTAGATTTTCTTCTGTACTTCTTCATTTTTACTTAAACTGGAATTTACTGTGTTTAAATATCGCTGAATGAATGGAGTTGAAATGGAAAATTGCATACATACGCGAAACATATTTCAAGAATTCAGATAACAAATTTTTTTATTAATAAGCTAATTTGCCATAAAATCATGAATTCTGTTGAATGTTGTGACATTTGATTTGATGATTTATTTCAGTCGCAAGACTTCTTAGATTTATTAGTCATAAATCAAATTTCAAACTCTATGATTCTTTTTTGCATGATGTTTGCTTCTCATAAGGTCTTATAATTCTTAACCAATTTATCTTAAAGTTGAAATTGGCGGCAATACTATGAATATACCTCAAGGATTTTCTGCGTCGTCACTCGATTCTGCACCTTCATACAGCGAACCGGCAGATAAATCTAAAGTAGCTTCACTGTCCCCATTATCAGCTTTTACTCCTAAATATGCTGAAGTCAAGAAACCACAACCGACATCAAAGTCAAATGATCTTCCTCCTTTAAGAACGGTTAGTTAGAGTAGTAGTGTGTTTAAACATCACTCATCAAAAATGAAATTTCTACAAATATTGTGTTGTTTTTTAAAAATGAAGTAGATTGGCATTGGTTCTCAAACTTTTAGGAATCGTTGCTCCTCTTTACAGCCCTCTATACACCATCATCAAGCCACCAACTCCCCTGTAATACAAAAAAAACGTAAAGATAAAAGTAAATTTATTATTTATTACAACAATAGATCATGTTGTTTGATGAGATAAACAGACGATCCTGAGTTCTTTATTGAGTTTTTAATAAGGCACTCTATTTGCTGACGGAAGGTCCTTCTTATGATAATAATGCCGCCATGACAAAAAACATATAAATAATTAAATATATGTTAGGATGAAAAATCCATGGTTCTTTTTAATCAAAATGATGCACCAAAATATATCATACCTATCTTTTGGAAAACTCATTTTGGTTGCACGATATTTTTGACTTTTGAGAATGCGCTTTGTTCCCCCAAAGTTCTTAGTCTAATAATATTATTGTTGTTGTTGGTAATGATTACAAAGCATATCTATGGAATTATTTTTGTTTTAACATTTTGCAGCAAAAAGAAATGTCAAGTTCTGAGGCTGCAGCTGCCTGGTTGGATGGTGCAATGAAGAGAATTACCGAATCTCCAACTCATAATGTTAATGGTGCAAGCAAAGCGGTGAGTATAATATAATCTGTAAATTAAATATTCTTTTTTACCCAAGTAGATTAATAAAGTATTTTTCAGAATGTGGTATTCAACTTTGCTTTCTATTAGCATTGGAGTTCAGTGTGGGTACTTTTTTATTTGATGGAGTTTTATTCTTGTCGAGCCAAATCTACTGACTAGGAGAATCATGTTTAACCTTTACCACTTTCATAATTCATTTTTGATTGAGGCTCAGAAAGGTGGCTCAATGTCAGCACTTTTTTGTAATTTGAACTGTCTTATCATCTAAATCTATTGTATTAATTGAACTGCTGATAAATTATGCTTTTATTTCTAACCATTATTAATCCCAATCATCTGTTCTAACATTAAGACAAATATCTCAAAAAAAGGTGAAAGAAAAAATGCTTTGTGCTGTTTGGGCTCACTGAGTTAGTTTGTACTGAAATATCTCACAATCTCTTTATGTTTGATATTATTCGGCCTCTGATTGATATCATACATGGAGTTTGAATACCACAATTAATTCATTATTTTATGTAGCAACATGGTGCAATTGATCCTGCAGAATTAGCAAAACGTAAAGCTTATCTACAAGAGCAACGTGATAAATTACTCGCATTGAAAAGAAAAGAGAGAGAGAAACAACTATCTGAATATATTGAACAAAAACAAAGTGAGTACTGTTTCCTTGAGTTTTTACTTGATATATATGTTTGGTGAAAATCTCATTTCCATCTTCATCGTAACTGCTCAAAAAAATGCACTCTTAGTCACATAATTTTTGGTTGTTGATTAAGTGGTGTGTGATTCGTAATCTATTATTATTTATTACAATATTTGTGTGTATCCTATTATGAATGGTTGTTAACCAGAAATTATATTAACTGTGGTATAACTAGAAAACGATAACTTATCACAGAGGTCTGGAACCCATGGCTCGCGAGCCATATATGGATGGCCCTTTTGGTGACGGCATATGGCTCCCAGAAAAATCTAGTATTCTATGGCTAAGCTTACTATCGTTACGAGATTTCAAACTCTTTATAGTCAAATTTGGCAGAAAATTTGCCAATATGTTTGAGAACGCATGCCCAGCGCAGGTTTATATTATCTAAGAGAGTTGCCAGACAGGCATTGTGACAAAACTAGGGGATTCTGAAACATATTTGACATCACAAAGTGATAGAGTCGCGGAGCAATACAATAAAGCTTTTCGTCCCTTTGTACATACTAGTTACAGTATTTGTCATATTCAAATCGGACTAGCAAAGCTAGTTTTTTAAATAATACGGATATGCCTGAATGAAAGAAGGGTGATGAGTATCGTAGATTTTAACTTGTGCTGCATGTGAGCAGCCGTTCTAGGCCCGCATCGACAACATGCAGCATCAGAAGTCACATTAAATGTATTTTGACATTGTATGTGTTTGAGTAAAACTTTCAGGTAAAAATTTCAGACCTGATTAAGTGAAGAAATGCTATATGTCTTGCACGGAAATGCAGTTGAAAATATGTACCTTTTATGGCTCTCTTTACGACCAAAAAGGTTCCCGACCCCTGCCTTATCATCTCAATGTTATTGGAATAAATATTGAGACCATGCTTGATTGTATTTGATACAAGCCAAGAGTGACTGAATCTTCAGGTTTCTACCATAACATGAATTATTGGCTCTGTGTCTTGTTGATATCGATGACAAAAATTTAATCGTGCTCTTCATGCAGACAACATTCGATTTTTATAAACTTCAATTCTAAATTTCACTTCTTGTAATCGGCATTCCTGAAATATTAGAACTATGGTTCAATTTTATTTTGAATAACTTAGCATTGATACCATATTATCTCAATTGAGGAAGGCTTTATCATTGATTGAAATTATAATAATGAACTATGTGTTATTCTAATTGTATAGAATGCAACTAATAGGGTGGCCTGTTTTCTGGTCATCACTTTTAACTGAAGATTTATAGCTAATGATATTGGTAATTTCATAATACAACATTTCTTGTTGTTTCAGCATCTGATGAACCTTCTACAAGTGATAATAAAAAGTCAGACACGAAAGAAGATAAAGTTCTGGCGTCTAGGAAATCGATTGCGGAAAGACTCAAAAATGAAGTTATTAATAAAAAGTAGCACATGACACATTTCTTTATGAACTAATAGACGTGCAGTGTTATAAAATGGACCAACATGTTCCAGGCTTAATTTAGTAGAATATAAAAAGCAGAAATCATTAATTATATTATACATCACTACAGAATCATAGTACAGATTAGTGTAGGCCACATTTATATTTGATATATTATTCATCATTTTTTCCCAGAGAACTTTTAATTTGGGATTCTAGTTTCTAAATCAGTGGTTTTCAACCAAGGTTCTGTGGCACCCTAGTGTTTGCCAGGCCAGTCCGGGGGTTTCGCAGGTTTACATCAAATCCAAGTGGTTATATTGGTATAGGTACAGGGTGTGATCCAAAAACAGAACCCATTGAATATATTTCAAATGACCTGGGTTCTATTTTTTTAGTCACCCCATATATTTTTCTTTAGGTTTTCTACTATTATTAAACTTGCTACGCTTTAAAAATCATTTTGTTTTGCCAGTATTAGGTTGGAATATGTATACAGTTTCGAATTATGATTTATTCATAAGACAATTAAACTATTGCACAGGGGTTGCTTGAGCCTCTGGGATGTTTCATTTACATTCCGCCCCACCAAAAAGGTTGAAAACCACTGTTTTATAGATTTTTTTCCTCTATAACTAAGGGACTGCCTCAACAAGATAGTTTGCAAGCTTTATTCAGTATTATTCATATAAGTCAACGATCAATCTATCATTTTATAAAATGGCACATATTATTGCATTTGGAAATTAATAATTTGATGTACTGTCTTAATGTGTTGCAAAATATGGATTAATTTATAATTGCATTTGGCTATAAAAAAACTGTATACTTTATCTTTAATTTTGTACTTAAATATATATATACAAATTTGAGAGTATTGCAATGAGAGTATTATTTGTCTTTTATGTGTGCTATTTGTCTGTAATAATGTATTTTGAGAATTTTCAATAATTCTATCTTATTTTACACAATTAGTTGCCACCTGTTGGTTCAATTTAAAAATTATTATCTTGTTTATATTTTTTAATTGCAACTGTCCAACAAATTCAAAGCATGTTAGCTACACCTAATTTCAACACATTTCCATTTAAGCTGTAAGTTTTTGATTACTCTATTCATTCCTTGCTGGCCTTGTTTGTCATTCTACACCTTTGGATTAGTATTTTCCCGGAACTTCATTGATTTAATAATAAAAAAATATTTTTGTATTCCGAACTATTGCAAGGATCTTAAATTATCATTATACCCTAAAGAAACATACCATACAAAACTCCAGTTCGAAAACTATGATTCACACATACGTTATGGTACAAGATATATAAAGTAGAACCAACGAATTCAATGAGACTAATAATACACATAAAATTAAATTTAGTGATTAAAATGATCGTTGAATTTTAGTAGTGAAGAAACGTCTTCAACCTTACTTGATCAGCGACACGGTTATTGACCTCCAAAGATTTCAGGACTTAATTTCCACTGTGAAATGTGGTCCGTTTGTATCACCCTATCACTGCTATAAACGCACAATACGAAAGAGCTTGTGCAAATGGAGCAGTCCGGTCTACACTTGACAGCCTTCTGTCGCTGGCTGACCAAAATTAAATCTTAAGTATTGAATGCTTCGTGACTTGTATCCACCACTGCCCAGAACCAACGTGCACGCATAATCAGACCTCGGCGACAAATAAATAGTAAACACCCTTCTTGTACGCTAGCGCAGGGCTACTCAACTGGCGGTCCGAATCCGGACCATTCGAGTATATGATTTGGGCCGTACCCCAATTCTTTATTTTGGATCATTAGCCACACTTTTGAAGTTTCCTTTTATAAAATGACTTTTATAGTATGGAATATTATTGAAAATAACCATAACACCATAATAAACGATTTTGATTAGCTAACAATCATTAGCCAGTCGAGGAAGTGCGCGTTTAATACCGAAATATAATTTCTGGAAAGACCGGAGTCACCGGACCCAAATTCCGTGTGATAGTGTAGGGATAGATTGGTACTTTCAACTAACCCTTTTTCAAAATATATAAAATCCTCCTTATGGAAAATCAGATCGTCGAAATTTTTGTTTTTAATTTGGAAGCAGAGACCAAAAAAAAATATTTAGATCGATAACGGAATATGTTAATTGGTAGGGAAGACTCAATAACCAAAGTTAATTGAATCGATAATGCAAATTCGAAGAACGCGAAATAGATCGTTTTGTTAATACGTTGTTGTCGTTCTTCTTGTTTGACACAAAGTAGACATATGGATTATTATGTTGATTGTAGATACTCATTCTTTCCTTTTTTGTAGAAAAATCTTTTTCTCATTAACTACTGGATCAATTGCTTTGGAATTTCCAGTGGGTAAACCACTATAAATTTTAAATCAATCGGCTCAGTAGTTAACGAAAAGGTCGATTCTTACACATCAAGAAGAATAAAAAAGACAGTACTAACAAAAATATGTATAATTACAATAAAATAACCAAACGATTCATATATATATATATATATGTACTCTTCGTTCGGATGTATCCCTAAGCATCCATTTTCTTGTGTATTTCCATACAAATGACCAATCAGCCATCAGTTGCAATTTGTGAAACCGCTAGGACACTTCTTTTGCTCTGAAGGTCATTCATGTTTCGGTGATTAAGTTTTTCGTTGAGTTACCAAAAATTGGTTGCAAATTAAATATCTTAAGTGCCATTATATCTTCCTTGGTTAAATGGAAAAGCGATAAATACAGTCGATAAATAACTACGACTTTAATTGAAGTTTACATAGAAATGCTTATCTAAGGAAATCTGATTTTGATCAGACGAAACGCTATAGAAATACATTTGTGTTCGGGGGCAGCAGGACTCTTGAATTGCATAGTATGGTATGTTTATTCCTGCTACAGCATCCTTGCATTATAAGCCTACGGATCCACTAGCGCAGTGGTGGCCAACCAGTCAGAAACCAAGACGAATGCACGATGAATCATAATATGTTTAATCGAAAATGATAAGTTATAGTTTGCATCTTACTTTTCACTTAAAGTAACCAGGGCTAAAAGAGCCGCATGAAACCGGTCCAATAGCCGCATTCGGCTCGCGAACCGCGGGTTGAACACTCCTGCACTATCGCAAAGGCATTCGAACCACGGATTCAATTTTTCAAGGAAATTATGTGAAGCCTTTAGTTATTTTTATTGAACACTGATGCACCATTAAAAATTCGTGTATAAAAACTTCTATGGATCTTTCCTCGACCTATGACCCCCGAAAAATTATTCCCATACTTTACCATTGCAAAATTTTCGGTCTATTTTAAGAGTGCTTTTGCGAGTTTGTGCTTGTAAAATGGGGTATGTGTTTCAAACCATCATTATGATTCATCGCATACAACAATCTGTTTTTTAAAAGTAACGGTAGAGAATTTTAGCCTAGTCTATCACAGCTATTTCTACACTGATTTTTTACTACTGCAATTGAATTAAAATTCCTAGAAAGACAGAGTGATCATTGAATTATGTGATTCATATTTAAATTTCCTAAACACAACTGGAAACTAACGAATAGAGTTCAAAAACGCGAAAACGAGGTAATGTTTACGACCACGCTTGAAAATCTGTCTGAGTGAGAAAAGTGTCTGAGCAGATGCAAAAAAGGAGCATTGTTACGTCACTTTTTGCATCTTGCTGATTGGCCAATGTCACGAAGTAAACAAGGTAGTCGATGCTCGGGGAAAGGTCCATTGTGCCATTTTTCTCTTGGTGCCAAAGCGCGTGCTTATTTTAATTCCAGCCCCCTGTGTGCATTGATGGCAGTCAAATGCAACGTTTGTGTAAAGACTAGCACTTTTAATAATTTCCCAAAGCGTGATTGTAAAATGGTGATAAATATGCTTATAACTGTGTAAAATTTTGTTTCAAAAATTCTGAATAATAGTTTCGCTAATGTGATAGTTGATACCTGGTAGCATAATTTGTATTATGGCCGAAATGAAACAATTAAACAGTGACTTTGGAGCCTTCGGATTACTAACACTTGGAAAACTAAACGACGACATACAAAAGAGAGAAACCACTTCTCTAAATCTTTCCAGATCTGCGGTGAAATTTGTAAACGTGGGCAGTGGGTATACGTAACCAGTCTCGCTTCGGTTATTTGTTCCGCTTGCAGCACTCGACACAACGGATATGGGATTCCCCTATTTCACGACGTTATAGGCTTTCCTTCAATCACGCATGTTGGGGTCGTCGGTGGTGGAATTTGGTAATTTTTGCATATTTGGCAATGGCCACGATTGTTCTCCAACAGTTAGCATGCAAAGACCAGGTGTGTCAGGACCAGGCGAATGCTGCACTTATATTATCGGGGGAAAATTCAGTTGTTGATGATGATGTTGACTTCATGGTTGGACGACATCCTGATTGTGAACTTCAACTAGACACGCCGATCTTGCCGGGATTTTTATCCAGGTATTTTTATTGGTTGAATTAAATATTGTAACATCTGTTTACTTATTATAATCAGCATATATAGACTCAAATTCTATAAAATTTTTATATTATTCCGGAAATTAAAGCAGATTAACGATATTTTTACAAAAAAAATGGACTACCAACATGACTCAAGACACAACTTGAATGTTTAGCACCATATCTGCCAATGCGATATTTATCATAATTCACAAATCATGAATAATAGAATTTGTGCTATTATGATTTATAGGTCACATGCAAAAGTGACAGTTTCAAAAGGACAAAAAGTGTATGTTACTGATTTGAAGAGTTTAAATGGAACACTGGTAAATAACATCATGCTTGAACCAATGGTTAAAACAGAATTGAAGATTGGTGACATTGTAACTTTTGGCTGTTTTTCACCCGATGTTGTTCTGACACCTGGATCCACTGTTATACAAAATAGAGCTCCATTCAAGTAAGTAGATTGCTTTTTGGAAGACAATAAATTCTTTTTGTTATATAAAGACTTGCCCAGCATTACTAAATTTACTCAAAATATAACATAGTATTGAAAAAGAACAAAAATTGTAGATCTAAATCACCTAAAATGCTATGTATCTATTTACAGATTCCAGCTAACGTCTAAAGATGATTTGCTTTTGGCTAAAGGTATTGACAATGAACCCTATGTGAGTTATATTTTTTTCTCGAGATATCATTGGTTTAAAAATATTTTGAATAATGGGTTTCTTTTTTATTCAGACAAGCACACCGTGCATTCCGCTGCATAGGACATTGGTGCATAAGTCAATGATTTCTTTGAATTCAACCATTCCTCATTCTTCTGAACATGATCACTGTGAAACAAGTATGAAAACCCTTTTTTTCATTTCATTATTACTTTTTTTGTGCAAAAATAAGGAAAATAGCTGATGTTCCAAAAGATTTCATGTTTTTATCAATCTTCAGAATTATGCAGTGTTTATTTTGGTATTATTAATAAAATTTCTCGTTCACCAAATAGTCAGTGGAAGCACAATAAAAGTAATAATATTATATTTTTTTCATAATTCTTTCGAGTATTCATTTCTCATATTTGATTCTTCAGAATCGAATAGGCCAAGCTATAATAAAATGTATTGAATTGTAAGTAAATTCGATTCAGCTCTTAACTTCCATAATCCAAGCTAGGTTGAATCTGTTAAGCATCAATGCTTTTAACATTCATTCTGCACAACTATCAATTGATATCAAATAACCTCTGTTTAAACCATAGAGAGCAAAGTTGATACTGGGCTGATCTCCGATTCCACATTTCATTCAAGCTGCGACACAACAACAACAATGCAACATGAGGATACTTCGAAATCATATGCAAAACACAGAAACGGAGATTTTGGGAATAAATGCTGCTTAAATAACACACATAAGGATCAGCTATTACCTCTGACTGTATCCAATTTATTGGCCTTCTCAGGATGCCATTTTGACAACATAAATTTTTCATCAGATGAGAAAGAAAATGTGGAAGGGGAAACTAGGGGCAATGGCATTACTGGAAATATAAAGTCGAATCAACCAAAAGTGAAGATGAAACGGTAGACTAATATAAATAATAAGTGCCCATGTCACATTTGTGAGAGAATTTTGGTTTGATATGCTGCTATGCATTATTTCAGTATCTGTGAATTAATGCATCTTTTTGAATCGTCCATGAATTTAGCGAAATTGTTTCAAGTCTAGGAATTGCATTGGCACAAGTAGTTTTGTTTATTGAATTTTCTGGTATATTGTTATCACTAGTATTAGCTTTCTACAACAATTCAGTGATTCGGTTAAAACGTTCGGTTTATATTTAAAATTCTATTTCAGGCCAACTAAAAGAAAACGTAGAAGTTGTTTTACAAAGAGGAAAAGCTCAAAAAATGGTGAGTTACGAAACTTTTATTATGCTATCAGCAGTCTTATAATGAATATTATTTACAGAGTTTGAAGATCGCTGTGCTTCTTTTGAATGCAAGATAAAGAACACTCACAGTAAATCTTCAAAACTGGTATCTTGGGTTCAATGTGATTTCTGTGACAAATGGTATCATACAGAATGTGTTGGATGTGATTATAACACTGTCAAATCGAAAGCGCGAAAGTTTCAGTGCGGGGTTTGTTAGATAGGCCTACATTTTCCTTTTTTTATTATACATTATTGGTCCTGTTTTTGTTCAATAAACACTGTTTCTTTCGCACTTACACAGGAAAGTGGGTTCTGTTGCTTTGTGTTGGGATAGGGTTGGTTCGGTTGGCTCTCTCTTACAAGAAAGCATTGCAGAAATTTTGATGTAAGTTTGTTGACATTAGTAAGTGCAGAATTTGAGCGAGAGGCTAAACAACGTAGTTCATTGTTTCATGCACTGTTCTTGGCAGGCGAAAAGCCAAATTCATATATCAATCTTTGGAAAATTTGATACTAAAGAATCCACTTTGAAATGCAGTTAACGACAATTTATTTATTTGGCGTAGAGTCGTCCAGGTCATCAGCATTATAATGTTACAATATTTTATTACTCTCGTCAATTTTGTAGTTGTTACACATGCGCCTAACTCAGTTCGAAATAAAAGAATCTAGAGGCGAACGTACGCTGCAACCTGCGATCTAGAAATTTCTCCAGCGCATCGATGAAAACCAATTTTAAACCCCTTCTTCTGTTTTTCGAATCGGGATCTCATTATTTTCATACATTCATTCAGACCATCCAGTGAATTTGTTGTTACATTTAAACTTATTCTGCTGTCCTGAAGCGCTTAACTGGTTTTATGGTCATTCAAATATGCGGTAAAATACCTCGAGTAAAATAACAATTGAAACCTTTCTCATTAACATTATAAAAGCGTTTACTGCTTATTAAGTCTGATAATGACTATATTGTCTCATGGTACGTTGGCATCGGTGGGCCTATTTTTGATGGTGGGTCTGAGGCTGCAGGTCCATATGCACCTGCTTTAGGCCTGCCCCGTAAATAAAATATGTAGATATATATACATAAAAAAAAAAACGTACTGAACTCACCGTATGTATAAAAAAGTAATTTCCATATAAACTTCTATAACAGCGGTTCTCAACTGGAGGCCCTTGGCCCACCAAGGGGGCCACAGAGCAATTGGAGGGGGGCACAATGCTAGACGCGAAACTGATTATACTTTTCCCTTGACAAGAACTCCTTTTCCTAGCTTCATTTCGTGTTAAGGTAATAATCACACAGAGTGTTTTCCCTTTGCTAAGCATGAATTGTTTGAACATAATAGGATTTGTAATATACCAATAAAAATAACTCCATAATACTGCTGAAATGACAAACTAGGGGCCATGAGTGCTAAAAGTTTCCGGAAGGGGATTGCGAGCAAAAGGTTGAGAACCACTGTTCTATAAGATAATAGATATTTATACTGTATTTTCTTTTTGTGTTATAGCATGAAAATTGGATATACAAAAGGAGCACAAATGTAACAACATTACAACACGAAAAGGCGGATTGATAATTAATACATGTGCATACAACTCTAAATTTTAGAGACATGCTAACGATAAAATATAAGAATGGAAGACGAAATATCCTTCCGTGAATGAGCAGATCCGTTGGCAGACGACTGGGCGATGACGTCATCTAACTTTCCTCCCCATCCTAAAAATGAATAAAGGGGGAACTTGTTATCCGGTCTGTCGTTTTCCATTGTAGGATATATAGCGTATGCTGACAATATACATTTCAACCTCATTAATATGATACCTGCAAAGTCACCACATGTTCCATATTTCGTTGCGTCGCTCGCTAAACCCCCGATGCAAAAATACTCAGGTGATATCGATTTGACTCTGTAACATAAATTATAATACAGAGAACTTTATTTCTGCAGTTAAAAGCCACTTCTAACATGTATAAAATTGAATATTCCGCTTAGGAATTCGACAGAGTTGGGATGAAAACATGAAATGTAATGAATTTCATATTTCATGCAAAACTAACCACTACCAGTATCATTCAATCGGATAAAACATAAAAACACGGTATGAACGCCTTCGATTGTTTTTATAAAAAGTCAAGATTAAAAAAACATTTTTTTCCAATTCTCCATCAAATTGCAATTTTATAAAATCTGATATTGTGATATTCGTCGTTTCGTTTATGTTTTTGCTTTCGTGATTTAGCAAGTATTATTGTGATGTGAATGGAAACTATTATTTTTGCTAGTATAACATCCACAATTAACGAAATTGTGTACAGGTAACTTACTTTACTCCTGGACAGAAAGCATTCGGATATCCGGTTGAATTGAAGGCCCGAAACTGAAGATATCCGGGTTCGATATGAGCTCTGTAAACCGGGGGTATCATGTTCATGATTTGATCATTGCTGCCTTTGTCAATAGTAATTGGTACTAGAAGGGAATTTTCAGGATACTCTAAAGGGCATAATATATACAATATTAAACAATAACATAAGGTAATCAAATGATCGTTCACTCATAACATAAGCGTTGCATTGAAACAATAAATATTACCATTAAACAGATCATCCAAGGACACAATTGCGTCCAATACAATGCTTGCAACAGCGTCAGATTGAGTTGTTGTCACACTTCCATTTTTTCTATTGTAGAAAACAAGCACGAACGTGTCAACTATTTATCACCACCATTTTTCATCACATACCAATATCACAAAACCCTTTACCTACTAAGAAGCAAATACCCCATAATTATGTTGGAAGGTCCACCATCGATGTGGAACCTGCTGCCTCTGTATGGACCACGAAAGCGAAAGTACGTGCGTTTGAACGAGGATGGTTCGACCGAACGCCACTTCTAAACAAAGTAACGATAGAATATAAAATTCTATAATATTCTACGTCAATGATTTTTAAAGGGGAATATATATTATATATATATTAATATAAAATATATACATTCTGGCGTCCGTGCATGGCAGATGGAATTTGTTATGGAGTTGTTACTTGTTAGCCCTGGAAGAAATGAATACGGATTTCATATACCAGAATATAAGCATGATATTCTATGAAACACAATTTTGTGGATACAGTATCATAAAGAAAAATAATGATATATGTATATATATATATATATATATTATGGAGATAAATTCCCTCCTTTGTAGGGAGAAGGTTTGGTAAAAATTACATATTTTTGATATATATAAAACTATAGATAGGTGGTTCACTAACGGCAACGTTTGATACGGTGAAATGAAATTCTGCCGGAGTTGGTTGATTTTCGTAAGAGAACTGTATCAAATTATACTGTAGTTTGTAATTTCCTCTTGTAACGTTATTCTGCAATTGACTGACGAGATCTGCATTGTTGTTTCGATGTGACTCAATCTGTAAAATATTGTCTTGTTGTTGATGCTGCGACACTGAATGCGTTTAAAAAAAGATTTTCTCATTGAATCTCCTTAAACCAATACCCATCAAATTTTAGTGTTTGAAAGTAGAAATTTTCCTCAGTACAGTACTTCAAAACATTTAGTAATTAATTCGGGATTCTTGTTACACTTTAAGACCTTGGGGAGGAAATAGCCTATTCTCAAACTTTAAATTGGTAAGAAGTCCGGCTCGCTTAATTGGAGTCGGGCGCCTCGAATGCGAGTGCCCAGGGGGCCACTCTTGGTAAGCAGGACTGGCGATGCGGGATGAACCGAACGCCGGGTTAACAGAGCAGCTGTAAATTATTTTGAAGTTTTGTACAGCTTGTGGAGACTCATCGGAAATAAAATAGTTTTCAAAAGATGTGATATCGATGGAGCATTACAGCAAGAAAGTTGTAGACGTTACAAATAATCATTGTATTCCATCGTCAAGTGCAAAATATTGAACGATATTGAAATCATCAGATCGATTGGCTTTAAAATGTTATACGATGGTTCAGTATTTCTAATTAATTTTTTTCTTTTCATTATCTGTAAATGATATATATAACAAAAAAGCATGACATTTATTATGTACAAAATGCCAAGGCGTTATTCAGTGATACAAGATATATAGTAAAATAAAATCCTCTCAATTTTTACTTTGCGGTAGACATAACGCCTTCAGTAACATCTTGGTTGAGAGAGGAGAAAAAACTTACTCACTTGTGTGCCGTAATATTTTATTACTCTGTCTTCGTTTGAGATGGCATGGATCATGATGAACGGTTCAGAAGCTTTGGATTTTATCAATGATCTATCCCCATCCATTCTGCATAAATAACGAATTACAAATATCTGTTGTCATTTTGCATATTATAATCATTCGAGGGCTATTTGAGATTTTAGTATTGCAAATTTTCCTTTTTAGTTACTCTTATATTTGATGGAAGATAGCGCAATGTACTCACGTTTTACACAAAAGTGTAGACACGGAGCGTCTGTATAAAGAAGATTCTAGTCAATCTAGTACAGTTGTTCTTAAACTCTTTTGCATCATTTACCCTTTCAGCAAATAAGATTTATCCCCAATATAGCCATTGATGATTTTTTATTAAAAATTCGTTAAGCTAGGTATAAAGAGCTTCAACTTTAGACGCAAAGTCTCTCTATCTTTCTCTTCTCTTACCCCATCTTCTTCTCTTAGTTGAGCTTCAGTTCGGCGTGGAAAATGTGAAAGTGGGGTTCGGTGAAGAAGGAGAGGTGGGGGTAAGAAAAGGAGGAGGTAAGAATGGAAGTGGAAAAGAGAATGTGGGTGGGAGGGTGACGGGAAGATGTAGAAAACGAAATGGGAAGAAGCAAGTGTTGCGATGGGAGAGTGACGGGTGGTGGTAAGAATGGAGGGGAAGCGTGGAGTGGGAGCATAGTATGCGGGGGCATTCCATGCATTTCGATCTTAAAAGCTACCTTTTTTTTCAAAAAATTTCGAGCTAAAAACCTATATTATAATAAAGAACTCAAGAATGAACAGAAAGGCTTGGTCAGGAAGCTGCTTTCAGCAAGAAAAAAACAATCACATTAATGTGACGGTTGCATTTTGATTTTTGGCAACCAGATCTTTAATGTCTGGTGAAATAACAAAGAACTCGAATGTGTTGGATTTCAATTTCAGTTGAAATAGAGGCCTACTGATATTAAAAGAGCTATGCTCAAATATATGGTCACGGAGAGCTGCACGGAATATTTTATCAATAATTCCCTTGAAATCTTGTTTGGTAACTTTCCAGTATCTGTACAGCCGGGGTCACCAAACATTTTTGACCGCGGGCCAGGTATGACTCAAACTGTGTTGGAATGGGCTGGACAAATATTTTTGTCAATGCAATACAATAAATTCACAAAAGTTGGGAAATCTATTCGATTTATTTAACAACATACCGTAAATTTAACATTTCTGAAGATTTGAATTCTATCTATATCGCAGAATAGCAAAACAAATATACAGAATTTTTATAGATCTATACAACGATCCCGAGATTAGCTGTTAACACAACATTGCTGTCAAGAATATCCGCATTTAAGCAGCACAAAAGTTAATTTGACTTGTGAAATTGGAGCAGTACGCATGGGATTACAGTACTATTAGCGCAAAGTGCACGTTCGGCGCAACAGTTTCACCGAAAGCACGCGCCACGAGGTAGAGAATTTTTGTTTTATCACAGATATTTCTACACTAATTTTTGATTACAACTATCGACCTATAACTCTTATAGAGGCAAAATGATGATTGACCTATTTGAATCATACTTAAATTTTCAAAACACAACTAAAAACTAACGAATAGCATTCGAAATTGCAAAAACTTGGTATTATTCACAACCACGACTGAAAATCTGTTCGAGTGTGCGAGCGGATGCTAAAGGCATATTGTTACGTCACTTTTCGCATTTTGCTGATTGGCTAATGGTACGCAATAAACAAGGAAGTCGATTCTCGGGAAAACGTCACATGGAATAAATTTCGCCCTATTTTCGTGTTATTGCGGGCCAGACGAAAGGACGCCGCAAGCCGGATCAGGCGCGCAGTTTGGTGATCCCTGCTGTAGAGTGTAGTCCTGTCGGTTTACCGGTAAGGGTACAGGGACTATCCCAGCTTAGGAATGTTACAAAACGTGCATTTCCGCGCCAAAACATTTGGGCTACGTATCACATCTGCAGGGTACCGTTACACTTATAAAAACAACTGCTGATTGCAGCGGTAGCTTGTCTTTACATCAAAGCTTGATATAATCCAGACGAAATATAGAAATATACTCTCATTATTGTATTTTTCTTACAGTTGAAATATTTCCCAACTCGCGGAGCTTTTGAAAATAACTTTCAACTTAAACGCGCTACGAATTATTGATCCCGTTTATTGACACCTATCAAATCTCTATTGCCATGCGTGTTTTTTCCCAACTTGAAATTTATAAATTTTTATATAGCTTGTTTAATTGGAACTTACCCGAAACGAATCACTGTCGAGCTAACATACTCCAACCCTGAATTAGCGACAATCCGCCGGCGGTCTATATAATCGTTGCCAGAATCGCCTTCTGCACGAGTCGCGATATTGTCGCGCAGGAGGATATATATCCATCAGCTTATCCAATAATGGGCTAATACCTATTTCTCGCATCTTAGTCTAATAAGAACACAATGTTTCTCGCAACAGAACTCGCAAATAGATGCGGTTTTTGTTTATTGTAAACCTTTTTTCACAAAAACGAAATTTACCCCTAAGAATGATGAAATTTGCCCCATGCTAAGAATTGCTGATCTAGTATCAGATAGTATAATGAAAAACCAAGTCGCGAAATTATAAAAACTACTTACCTCACAGCTTGCCCATAATTCAAACCTAAACTTCGAATTGAACTTCTAATGTTTACCTAAAAAATTATTAATTCATTAACCAGAATAACCGGAGCGCTTGATTCAAAACAAAACTTGAAACTTTTGGCTCGGATTTATTAAGTTAAAGAAAGTTTCATTTTTTTCAACTTTTAGCCTATGTTAATTTTGATCAAAGATTGGTGTCACCTGACTGCAGCGTTGAGCATCTGTAGTGATGCGCTTTTAATTATTAAACCATAAACGAATAACATACCGTATTTCCTGCCCTCTTAGCGTACATTTTATCATCGTAAATCCGACTACTACTTGATCTGTAAGAATAGTTATACCAATTTGGGATTGCTGATTTAATGTTTAATGCTTTTGCGTATAGGACATTAATGATCTTTGTTGCCCTGTCACCTGCAAGTGATGAAATAAATTAATTATTAGAATTTCTGAATGCTAACATGTAACAGCATCTAAAATTATAACAATGGAACAATTTGGTTATCAGTGAAAATTCAAGGTCAATTTGAAAATGAAACGTGCAGAAAATATTGATGATTCAATGTTGTTATCATGTTAATTTTCAGCGCATTCTGATGAAAAAATTGTTAGCAAATATTTGAAAATAGAGTTATGGTAAATATCGCAGGCAATTTACAAATAAAATAATCTTGTGTTGACGTTTTCAACCTTTTTCATCTAAACTTCAAATTCTAAACTATGATATAAAGCAGTGCTCTTCAACAGGGGTTCCGCTGAATTTTCAAGGTTCCGCAGTATATTCAGTGGGGTTCCGTGAGTTAATAGGGTTCCTTAGGGGTTCCGCGTTAGGGAAAAATTGACTTCTGGTTCAGTAAAGTTGCAAAAAATATATTCTTCTTTTTGGTTTTTTGATGAATTTCTAAGTGATTACTCCGAAGTAGAGGACACAGTTGAAATAAAGGAATTACTGAGTGTTGGGTCATTTAAAGCTATTGAAGAAAAATTTCAATCAGTATTTTCCGAATCCGAGATTCTCCGATCTCTGAAGTGGGTTGTCAATCCTTTTGTTTTCACTTCGCAACAGTAAGAATGAATCCTAGATATCCGTAATAATATTAATTTGGAGGAAACCTTCGAAAAACATGAAAAGAAATATTTTTGGATTTTGGACACTTATTTGTGTGAATCAGCATTTTCTGCTTTAACAACTATCAGGAACAAAAAAAAAAGAGTGTATACATGAGTGTGAGAATTGCATTGAGCGCCGTGGAGCCACGATTCAGAAGATTGCAAAGTAAATGCAAGAACAACCTGGTCATTGAATTTTACGCTTGTTGCCTTCTTTCTGTTTCGTTGTTGAAGTAGAAATATTTGTGATTATTTCGTGTTTTTTTCTATTAATTTTGGTAATTGGGGTTTCATAAAAAACGAAAAATTCTATCAGGGGTTCCACAGTAACAAAAAATTGAAGAGCACTGATATAAAGAACTTGTATATATGTCTGAAGTACTATACCGTTAAATAATTTCGGTACTGTCATAATTGATTCCAAGATAATATTAGCAACTTTGTCTGTATGCTCTATGGATATGTTTTTGCCTTTATCCCTGAAATAAATATGTAAGTTTCACAACTTTTAGTTCAAATGTAGGGACTCTACTCGATAACCATAGCATCTCAATATAGACTTGGTTAGTAGTTACCAGTATCTTTGAAAACAAACTAGGTACGAGTATTCAAGAATTGAGTTTTAAAATTGGAAGTAGATAATAAGTAAATTGAAAACTAATTTCAATAGTCCGCTTCTTGTGCTTTGGTGGACACAGACCTCAATTGAAACAATATTGTTTATATGGTTCAAAGTATTTCTACTCGTTACTCAAATGTTTAATCAAATCTAATAACCTTGCTAAAAGAATGTATCCCACAACGACGTTTGAAGGATATCCGTCTATCTCATATCTGGTATATCTATGAGTTGATGGGTTGTTCTCATATGTTAGTTCAAATTTGGATGGCTCAACGGATCCCCAATTCTGATAATAAAAAAAAAAGTTTAGTGAAAATCTGGTGTCCGTTTGGCGGCCTCTTAGTAAATTACCAATAAATATTAAATCATTAAATATTTTATACCATAAAGTGCTAATGTTATCAATTATTATCAGTACTGTACTACATTTTTATCGACATGCGACAAACGTATTGACAGAAATCAACCCACAATATTCGATACAACGAAGTGAAATTCGCATGCAGTTGGAACATCCGGCGAAGAAAATGGCAAAGATTGATATTGAAGTTTGTAATCCCCGTTGGTAATGTTATTGCTGAGAGAAATGAATATTTCGTGTCTGCTTGGACGATTAGAAGTAACCTGAAATAATTGTTATTAATATTCTGTAACGAGACAAAGTTGTAATTAACAATCTAGTAATAAATCTAATGTTAAAAATGTTTATGTCACTTCATGGTTTTCCGCCTTGGATGCGTTTACCCTACCTAATGTTGTCTATCATAATCATTCTGAATAACTAACGACATCGATGCCGGCACTGGAATATTAGTTTCAGCTATGTGTACCTGATTTAAGGCCATATCTAAATTTGAATACAATTCACTATAGATCAATTTCTAAAACTAATCTCAGAATAGAAGTTACCGGAACTTATTTTACACCAGTGGTTTCCAAACCGCCGGTCATTTACGTCAGTTTCGTCATTTCGTGTAACGCGAAATAAAGGTACTGTACAACAAATTTGATGAGTATTATTTTCAGGCATTTGCATTGAAAAGATTAAGTCGTGATCCAGTGGTGTGTAAGTTTCGGAATCATTTTCACAAAATTCCTGCATTAGAACCATAAACAGATGCATTGTCGAATGTAGGCCTACTCACCGTGGTGTAAATGTTTCTTTGTATCCGCCTTTCGTTTGAAACAACATATACAAACATGAAAGGCTTTATCATTCTAGAGTCGCAAAAAGAGTCCTGGTATCTGTAAGTCAAATATGGAGTAATTAGTATGGAATCATTTTGAAAGCGATGTTTGGACATTGAGTCAAATATATTTTTGTATACTAATATGATTTACTCTTAGTGTGAATAAGGATATTCGCCAAGAAGCAAAAGATTCGTATTCTTACTTTTTGCTCTGTCCGTAAGTAATATCTCCACAGCCAGTGGCGTATACCTGGAAAGAAATTTGAATAAATATTTAGTGAGGAAGATCGTTATTTCACCTTTCTCGCAACTACTGGACCAATCAATATTACATCAGTGCCTAAAGATGGAAGGAGTCTCTAAAAAGTTGTTGATTTTATTTACTATGGGGCCCAATAGTCCATCACAATATTTGCTTCCGCCACGTGTTATTCCGCGACACTTGTCCGCCAGGCAAACCCTGTGCTCAGCTAAGCCCTTACTGGTCAAGTGTGACTCACAAAGTCATATCCGCGAGTATCGAGTCATATGAAAGTATGCAAGAAATGTATATTTGGGAAACTTGAATACGTGGCCAAAAAAATAAAGACAAGGACACGTAATCAATCTTCCCTCATGTTTCCTCACTTGGCGTGAAATTTTCAAACAGGTTTATTTTTGACTAAAATACGGCGTAGTTTACTTTTATAACAAGCACAAAAAATCAAATACTAATTATTTGTCTTACTTGGCAAATTTGGCGTTGTCTTGACAATAGATAAGGTTACCGTGAAAATAGGATAATATTATTTGGAAGCTACACGCTTTGAGAGTGATTATCACCTTTGTGTCCACTGTCGATAAAATTTGGCAGCGTTCTCTTGAATTATGTTATTGTTGGACACGAATATGGACCTATAGATTGTTTTGTGCATGATTGTATGTGTCGAAAGTTTCACAAAATCAGAAAAATTCCCATTAGAGGAGTGTGTTCGAGTGATTCAACGTTTTCGGCGATAGGGTTGGTAACGTGTCATTCATATACATATATAGCCAACTCAATATACAAATACAGCCATTAGGGTGGTGTAAAAATACTGCCAGATCATTTCGTAAGAATACAATTTATGTATATGCGCCTGCATCTTCGAATTATATGTACATTAGGGTCGTTCATATAATTCGCGCATTAAAAAGTGTGAAACTCCAAAGCGGCTAGTGATCGATAAGGGGTTAGCATACAGGGGATGAGGCTTTACATACATACATACATACATACATACATACATACATACATACATACATACATACATACATACATACATACATACATACATACATACATACATACATACATACATACATACATACATACATACATACATACATACATACATACATACATACATACATACATACATACATACATACATACATACATACATACATACATACATACATACATACATACATACATACATACATACATACATACATACATACATACATATTGATTGCGACAAAAGACATAAAACCACCAGTGTTAATATCATAATACCCCACAACAGCTGGAAAATAAAAAACATGAAACTGCCAGTGCGCGTAGTTCTTGATAAATATCCAATAGGCGCCAACTCAGTTCTTCAGAAACCTTCCAATAGGCGCCAAATCTACGATGTCATAATACCCCGGAACAGCTGATCGTTGAAAACACGAGAAATGCGCTGGCTAAACATCTCTTTTCAGAGGATTATTTTTTGGCTATTGGCAATAAGCTGTCCACAAAATACTCAGAGTAACGCTTAGTGGTCAGTGCGCGTATAGTTCTTGAAAAATATCCAATAGGCGCCAAATTAAATACAACATTAGCCTTCAGATTAAATATCTGGCCCCACATCTCAAATACTATTTGTTAAAATGAAAGTTTTTGCTGAGCCCTTGCGCCTTATCAAGCTTACTAAACTTGGTTTTCAGAGTCTCTATCATTTTGTTTTCATTGGTGTGTGGCATACCCAGTGAGTTTTTGCAAAGACGTCTCAACCCAAAAATTTGAGAAACATTGCTTTACGACATCTTAATTTCCAACGACAACTTAATTTTTTAGTTGCCAGGATTGGTGTATATAAAACCTTTTTCAGCATTACTACCATGTTATTTTTATGTTAATGACATTTCCACATTTTCTGTTACAATGGTCTTTGCATAAAAAAATTACATTTTCAGTTGAACCGTTTTTTTATTTAACATACCGATAGCTTAAGATTAATTTAATAATATAATTTGTTTTTTTAACCACGTACACCGGCAACTTCATGTCTTATTATTCGCAACCAGCATGTGATGGCTTTTCGCTGAATGACGCTCATCACATGACATTTTATTACATCTACTTTGCGCTAGTTGCAATTCATTTTTCATATTTCCATCAATAGCCATTTTAGCATTTCTGTAAGCGTAAGCACACAATCCCAATTCTTCAACGAACATGGTTTCATCCTATAAAAATATTCTGGCGAGCTTTCTTGATTAATCAATATGTAACGTGAGTAATGATAGTTTGCACCAAACTTCAATCTGATTGGTCTGTAGACAGTTTACTGCCAATGGCCAAAGAATAGTTCACTGATAAACAGATTTTCAATTGTACGCATCGTTACGCACAAATAACATGTAGGGGCTTGTTACTGAATGATGCTGATATAACGACAATTTATTACATATACTTCACACACCCATTGATGGAAACTTCCATCAGAAGCCATTTTTGAGAGTCATTTTTAACGCACTCATTATATCAATATGACTTCAAAGCTGCGATTTGTAGATGCAACCGCACCGGTACATAATATACAGTAGGTTGCATGGATATGAAATGGATTGGCGGTGTATGTACATCACTTAATTATACCTGTATGTATATCGAGTTGATAATTAGTACATATGACATTCGTTCTATATGTACATTACATGGTATACATAGGTATATTAAATTTGTAGTATATACATATGACATTTCTTGAATGCCTCCATAAGTACATAGAGTTGACTATACATACATATGACATTGATGATTGTGTACATTACTTGAGTAGCTGTTTTAAGCATATTGCGTAGTCCATATAGGCATATTGCATTGGCTGTGTATGAACATTATTCGATTAGTGGTATATGCCTATTAATTTGGCTATATATGCATAAGATATTGACTTTTGTATGTGCTCCGCTTTCACTTGTCTTTATGCGACTATTGAGTGATTTAAATGACTTATATTGATTGACGTATACTTATTGGCTGTATATGCATATTTAGTTGGCGCTATATGCATATTCAGTTGGCGTTATATCTATATTTTTGGCTGTGTATGTATATCACGTTACCAACTTCACTCGTTTTTTTGCAACAGATGCAAGTCTGTCTCCAATGCCTAGGAGGGGATTTGGAACAAATTATAGAAAGAACATAATTTCTGTGCCAAACGTCGTAGATTCGTGAAACTTCGAGGTACAATAATGGTTGGTCAGTACAGTACTGAAGTTTTATTATTTATTAAAGAAACGCTTCCAAGCGTTTTGTTCTAATATTTATTCATACTATCAGCTGTACATGTATACAGTACTCGTCGCCGGTGCGGGAAAGCTAAGAAACTCGGAAGGCTATCAACCATTATCGCACGGCTGCAGGCGAAGATGGCAAGTAATATATAAATTGGCATCTTACTCAGCTTTACCTTATTTCCATATGACGTATACATTTCTTTATCGTTTATTTGATAAGATTTGTCCCCATACGTGTAATCGTACCAATCTGGTATTTTTCTTCTTATATTGTCAGCATTTTTCGCCAAAGCGTTAAGAATATCTTCAGCTGGACTTTCTGTAAATATGAAAACTTCGAATCGATTAATATATCGCTATAACCAAGTTGCGTGAATTTTTGATGGCTCGTGTTTTTTTAGTTATCCATGTAATGCTGTTCACTTATCTGTTGACTCTGATTTTATGCCAGCGATTTCGAAACGCATAGAAAGAAAAATTCATGTGACCAGTGTGACGTCACAAAGACGAACTAAATATCGGCAACGCATTTTTCGAGTTTGTGTATCATAGATTCTAGCTTAGCACATGAAAGTGTACACTTGTGATATCAATTTTCTGAGCCCAATTCATATTGGTTGACCTATATATAAAATTTGTATTGATATTTTATTCTTTGTATTCAATATTTATGGGGTGTCTTATTTTCGGTGGGTGTGAAGAGCGCTTTAGAATATTGGTAACATATATATTTCAAAGATAGAAAATAATGTTAAGATAACTTGTTTTGGGATTTGACGTCGTAGATATATTGCAAATCACATACTTTTTGGAATATTTGATTTTCAGGGCAGATGGATGTAGTCAAGTTGCAAAATTGCGTGTATCCCCAAGGCATAACCACATTTTTGCGTAAGTCGCAGTGCGCCGTCATGACGTCGTCATACAAATAAATTTAAATCAGGCTAAAAAATTATTCACTCTTAATGGCATAACACTATCTTCGCGATAAAAATGAATTAGCACTTTTGTTATTGGCAATGTGGAAATGAAGTGGCACGGCATTTAGAAACGTGCGTTAGGAATAGTTTTCGAGTTTATACTGAATATGTTTTTGACAAACTTCTGTATTTACACTTTTTATGTCTTAATGATTACGACATTCAAAAGGAAAAAACGGGTTCAGAAACCATTGCAAAACTATTATGATGGCAAATATACGATCAGATGAGCAAACATATGCGGCACGATATGACCCCAACATACATAACTGCCTAATATGAAACGAATTATAAAAAGAAAGATTTTAACCTAATTTCTTAGACTTCAACGGGAAATGCTGTTCAAACAGTGTCTTCAAATTTCCACCGTAATTTTTCATAAACTGATTGGTTGTTCTGTAACGGAGGTGGGATTTTTGCTTCATTGCAATCAACGATGTTTCAGAAGGAACGTGCCAAATCATGATATTTCCAGCCTGAATTATTAAATGTTATTTTTAATATGTATCATTAGCCTAGTCATGTTGATATTAGACAGTTTGGTTTATTGGTTTCCCGATTGTTCGTCCAAGAGTTTTTCGGGGATGATATTGGTAGCATACGTATGCGATTACAGGATCGTATAAACATACCTGCATATAGTGATAAGCATCATTTTTATAGTCATTTGATGTACATTTGAAAATATTTCCAAAGGTGCTTTCAGCTTCCCAGTTTGTCTTGTCTGTTCCAAATGAAATAGTGTTTATTATATTTTTATAACTGAAAAAGCGATTTCAGGAAAGGTTGATGAGCAAGAAGTGTGACGTCGAGTGGGCACCTGATTCATTGGACTTGAATACCTAAGATGACTATCTGTGAGAGTGTTCGAATCACAATGTCTATCAGAACATTCATCATATAATGGATAATGGGTGAGCTTAAAACCGCAAATGGCAAAAAAAATCGAATAAATCCTCTTAGAGGAGTGTGTGCGAGTGATTTGACGATTTTGCGCAACGGATGCAAGTCTTTCCTCAATGATATATATATAGGAAAAATAGCATTCCAGGGTGGAGGGACACACGGGAAACCAAAAAAATGGTTATCGAGCAGTGGTACCCAGAAAAGTCTAACAGAACACGAGCAAAAAATCGAACAATATATAAAATGTAATAAAAACACTAAACACGACTAGACGACCTGGTATATTCAGCAGTCGCGAGTTTCCACAGAATGAAAACGATTCTTAGCATCGTCAGTTAAACTCGACAATGGTAGCATTGTGAGGTGACTACTAGGTTTCAAGGTTAGAGTGGAACCATGGTAGCTGTGAAGTTATAGATAGCGCAACTAAGTTTCAGGAGTTCGAAAACCTACTAGTTGTTGTGCACACACACAACTGGACTAATAAAACAAATTATTAAAACTCAGATGGTAGGAGGAAATAGTATATGGACATGTTACCAAACATTGCTGGTACTGTATTCAAGTGCATCGGTGCTGGAGTCCTAGAGTTTAACATACAAGAGTTTAAAAAAATCGAAAAGAATACGAATAAATGAACTAGAGAATTCAACAACGGTTATACAAAAACATGAAGGTAATATTAAATGTCATGGCTGAACTGACCACTTCATATAAAGCAAAAGTTAAACAAGAATGGATTGATAAGAATATAATGTCAAGTCAATAATCCAGGAATAGGACAAACACGTAAATGATAGACGTTACAACAACGTTCTTAATGGAGTAGGCAAGACGGCCTGCAATGGTATTTAATAAATTTATGATTGCTGGTAAGTCAAACAACATGAGATTATAGTGGGGGTCAAATATGTTTCAACTATAATACTATATTACACCACAAAGAATGTATATATACGAACCAAGTTCTTATTTTGCTTAATAGAATATACTATCATAAGATTCATAAAAATAAGTCAAACTGAGTGGTGGAACGACTATTTAATAATCAATTCATAGGTAATAAGGGGTAAAAACTATGTCACGGTACGTATCATAACAATTGAAGGGATGTACTGTATCCTATGGGCATGTCGGCTTGTAATAGAAGTTACCCTCATTTCATATTATGCAAAGTACAGTTGTAAGAAATGGTCCATCCAATGTACAATTAGGACATGCACAAGAAGAAAGAACATAACTTTTGTGCAATTACCCACAAACAGGAGTTGAACCACAAACAATATCTAATGAATTTTTTATTCCTTTCGTATTATAGGTTTCGTTTTTTTAGCGTCACCCTGTATTATAGTTGGTGGGTCAAGTACATTACTGAAGTTTTATCATGTGAGAAAACGCCTCAAACGCTTTTTCTCTTCCAATTTGTGAAGACGTAGGTTGAACATCATATTGATAAATAAAACAAATACTTGAAGCTGTGAAAAGTTCGTATTCTTACATGGATATGACAGTTCATTTATCGGGTCGTATTTGGACCACATATCATCTACTCCACATTTTACTGAAATATTCGATTCATGCACACTTGCTACTAAAGTCCACCCACCGCCGTCAGAAGTCATGTCACAGTAAACCTTAAATTAAGTTTTATTTTATCGATAGAATTAAAAAGATATCATGGTATATTTGAAAGTACTTTATTTCAAGCACAGTTTGTAGATGTAATTGTTTGGTTAGTATTCGTTTAAAATACATTTTTCAAATTTTTATTTTAAGTTATTGCGCTGATGAATTGAGTCTGTGTAAATTCAAAATAAATATCACATCGTCTGCATTCATACTTATGCACGTGACCAGTATGATTAATCTTGTCTAAACCATTCGACAAAACAAAGCATTATTCATATCACTGTATCATATCCTTATCTGCTTCGTGACAAACTTAATTACATCAATTATATATTATTCAAATGTTTTGTATTGCGTATCAGGTTAGTTTACAATAATACATATAATCACCTCAATTTTAGGATAAGCAGTCTGAGTTTGTATGTAATAAACCCCGTCAGTTTTAAAACCCAACATTTTCAATTCGCGACAAGATTTCACGGGACCGCTTCTCCCGTCAACAACAAGTCGATTCACGCATTCCTCCAAAGAAGAGGAGTTGAAACCATCGAATACTCCGTTTGTTGTAGTCTAAATAATTCAGATCAAATCAATCTGGATCGTTTAAATAACTTACGGATTGTTTAGATGCAATTTCCGTTTAAAGTACACACAAAAAATATTTACCTTTATGTCATGTTGACTAATTTGTACGAACAGCCCAACCAACAGTAGGATAACGACAGATAAGACGACAGAAATGAGGCTCATCTTCGAACGTTTTGTTTCACGTTGTTCTTCTCGATTCGAAGACGCAGGTTTATTCTGATGCTTTGCGTTGTTTCTCCGCTCGCCTTCTTTTTCACTTTTTGGTAGTGAAGGGCCTGGCGGTCTTGGCACATTTCTCATGGTGACTTGGACCCGATAAGCAATGTATACGACATATATGATTTAACGAATAGGATTAAGAATATAAAAACTTGTTCGGACGGGGTCAGTGGCATAACAGGTCGGGTGAAACTTTATTATTTGATCAAGATCTCAATTATAAATAGTGATATTTTACCGACGACACTATTAAAAACTTAATTCACCTTGGTTGTTTTGGTATTGAACTTCACCTTCATAAATATGATCGGGCTCGTTAGATTGTTGCCACATTATCCAGGTTCTATATCCTTCGGATAACTGTCAAACTGTTTTTATTTTGCAGTCCAAATAATACTACTGTTTAATAGGAAATATATATATCATGGTCATTATAATATTAGATTTTAAACATAAATATTAGATATGGGATGGATTCCATCAACAAGGTCCGATTACAACAACGGTCATAACTTTTAATTAACCAGATGAAATCACTGAAATGAGCTCTCCACTTTGTAACACCGATTGTTTAAATAACGTACCAGCGAAGAGTTAAGTTGATTTTCGTTGTTTTCACCTGGCCATCCTATTCAAATAGTCTACCCCTTTGCTCTCTAATATTATTAACCGAAAAACCTATTTGATATCGATATCTACAAGGTCTTTAGCAAGCATATCAATAATATTGGGAAGTCTTATAGAATAGGTTTTTATGTTTAATTGATACTTTCGCATAAAACCGATAAACTATATAGGATAGGAAGTTTCACCTTAATTGTATGGGACAGCATTTTTGCAAGATTGTTTTAGCCAATTTGAGTCATTTTTTGCATATTAGTATTATTAGATTGCGCTTAGCACTTATTGGCTACGTTTCAGTTTGAAAATAATTTCTCGGCTATCTATAAACAAGTAGAACCTGTATATCGTAACGCTGTCAACTCAGACTCGGACAAAAATTAAGAGAAGAAATATGATCTAAATCAGAATAGGTAAATTTCAGATATGTATTCCAGGCGAATATACCACACCCCCTGATTTTCATTTTTGAAAGTTATTTCACAAAAACTAAATTCTGCATATGTCATCGAAAAATGTGTAGGAAAAATATGCCATCTTTTATTTTTCCAACTAGTTTGGGTTTTGAAATCACTGATAAACTTCAGTTATCTTAAGCTAATGGCACAGAAGAACCCATACACCTGACAATCTCAGAGTGTACGCTGCTAGAATCGCTTCTATAAACTTCAATCATCACTATACCACCTAATATATTTCAAATTAAATGGGTTTTGGAAGTGCGATGATCGGGCTGCTCTTTCAATCACCACAACTTCAATTTGTGGAGTAAGCTGCCAGAAACATACAAGTAAGAACCTAATAGCTGACTGTTTGCTTTCTTCATCTTAATTTGTTGTATAAATCATACTGCTCCAACTCATGATTCATGACTGTTTATGTTTTACTTAAATACAATGCACAGTTAGTATACTGTGAGGTACCTACATAACGGATCCTATTACTATTTCACAGCCTAGTTGATATTATCCCCAAAAGTCAGGAGTCCAACATCTACATTCTACATGGAACATCTATTGAATCATGGAATAATACATAAGTCCTATAACGTTATCGTCTTCGCTGCCACGGGGCACTATGGTGGCCCAAAAAGCTGACTCCCTTTCTTGCACAGTATTTCGACGTTGGATGGATCATTTTTAACAATATTTACATCGGGAAAATCTGCAATCAATTGCCTTGCTTACTGACAAAATAAAGTACATAATTGCTATTTGAAAAGTTTGTGAAAATGAGCAAAATAGACCGAAGAATTTTACTAAAAAATTTGATATTGACTAAGCCTGGTTAATACGCGATTATATCCTAAGGTATGCTGACGTTGATACGCAGCGCACGATTCTGGCGTCATGTCGGCGCCAGCAGATAGAACGAGGCGATGGACAAAAAGTTGTGACACCGCAATAATAATGTTAAACGGCAAATGGCTATTATTTTTTGGTCCTCACCCCAAAATATATAAAACACAACAATGATGCGGTGACCGATTGTATATTGCACAAACAGTAGAAAATATAAAACGTACAACAATAAAACAAGAATATCGGTCGGAGACCGAAGACTTATCGATCGAAACTGCGGTTTCGATTAATTAATAACTCGCTAATTTTACGACATATGTCATCTAAATTCAATAGGCTTCTGGTCCGAGATATGATGAATGCACATGCAAAATTTGGAGCAGATTCAACCTCGCCTTTGTGAGATATCGCGTTCATCTAACAGACAGACAAACAGACATACAGACAAATACCTATCAACATACTTACCGATCTTAAGATCGATGAGTAATAAACTTGGGTGAATAAACAGGGAATTGAGGTAAAGGAACAGTAGACAATGGCAAGGTGCTGTCAACGATTATGTATTTTCATGTGATTTGATTCTGGACATGATGCGGGCCAAAGAGCAACATCACAACCCCTGCAAAAATATTTGGTTCTTGTTCGTCGAGATCCTCTTTTCGAACATTGCACGCAATCATGATATCTTTTTCGTAGAGTTGGCCAGTGGTTGGCCTTTGGTGCATTTACTGGCATTTTGGCATGGGCTTGACAAACTTATTTCAGAGCGAAGTTTTAACAAGTCAAGGCATATAATCCTGGATAGAATCTTTCAATTCTTTTCCATCTTTCCGAACTCCACAGAATATTTGCATTTACCATGCAAATTCTCATCCAGGCATCGAAGATTCGGAAATACCATCTCAGTCCTCTGTGAGGGAACAAATAAGTTTTCATTCGCTGGTCCTTACGCTCGACTCCACCCATGCACTGTGTGTAATTTTTTACTACCGTTTCGTGCAGCTTTTGAACGAACTTCTTCTGTAACGTAGGAGTTTGTGTGAATTGTGGATAACAACTTTGCTAACTTTACCGCCTCGTTGCTCGAAAAATTCAAATGCAAACACCATGGGATTTTTTGTAAGAAAAGGTAAATATCTTGGTCACCCAACCGTCATAATTATTTTATTGTTTTTTCGGAAAACGGCGCTTTATTTTTTGTACCAATTTTTTGGGGGAAATTTTTTCACAATTTTCATATTTGGGGTTATTTTGTCGTTCTAACGATCTTAATTAAAATATAGCCGTATAAAAACATGTCTCTTAAACTTCGGAAAAATGTCAAATATGGCCTGGCAGCGAAAGCGATAAATCAAATTTATAGTTATTATAACTTGACTCCAACCACCATCAAACAACATTTTTTTTATAAAAAGTTCAAATTTCATGGGCTGCTGTTTTATCAGTAAATATATATGTTAAATTAGTTGAGTAGGTTTACTAAAATGCAAAATAACTTCCTTGATAAAACAATAGGTTGGAAAATATTGCAAATCACATGCGTCATAACAAACCGCAGAATACAAGATCATTAAAGAATGAAATTTGTTTCATAAGTTACAAGTTACAGAAGTTGAAGGACTGCCGAAAACTTCAATGTAAAACACTCAATGTATCAAGGGTGGGCAAAATACAAATACTGTAAAAAAAATGTAAAAGCGTCATCTTCGAGTTTAAATATGCTAAGTTGACATAAACGTGCCTTAATCATCTGAACAAAAAATTGGGGCGACATTATCGTGCTCCGGTTCAATATTTATTACCATTTCTACAGCACAAGAACAGTGTAACTAAAAAATAAATCTTTAAAAATTCTTGAGTGGCTTTTTGTTGAATTCATAGACAAAGACCTTTTTGCTGAAAATCATTCTGCCACGGCGACTTTTGCTTGGGTATAAAGATTGAAGATCGTGGATAGCGGTCTAGCAACAGAGAGCTTTTTTAAACACTCATCTAAAATATTATGACTTATACAACAAATTGATATGAAGGAAGAAAACAGTCAGCTCTTAGGTTTTTACTTGTAAGTTTCTGGCAACTTACCTCACAAATTGAAGTTGTGGTGATCGAAAGAGCAGCCCGATCACCGCACTTCTAAAACTAAAATTGAGACATATTAAAAGGCGGTATAGTAATGATCAGAGTTTATAGACACGATTCTAAGAACGTTCACTCTGAGATTGCCAGGTATATGGGTTCTTCCGTGCAATTAACTTTGAAGTTTATCAGTGATTTCAAAACCCAACCTAATTTGGAAAATAAAAAAGGGATATAAACAATCTTGTTTGTTCCTACTTTCGATAACGTAATATGTAGAACTTAGTTTTTGTGAAATAACTTTTAAAAATGAAAACCAGTGAGATGTATTATACTCGCCTGGAATACTTATCTGAAATTTAGCTATTATGATTAAGATCGTGATAGTTCTTTTAATTTTTGTCTGAGTCTGATTTGACAGCGTTAAGATATACAGGTTGTACTTGTCTATAGATCACCTAGTCAATAAGTGCTAATCTTAATCTAATATGCAAAAATTGGCTAAAAAAGTGTAACCTCCTCTCCTACATTTTTCGGTGTTATGCGAAAAGTATCAAATAAACATGAAAATTATCTTCTAGGACTTCCTAATATTAAAGATATGCTAGATCTTGTAGATATCAATATCAAATAGGTTTTTCGTTTGATATTATTCAAGGGGGAAGAGGAAGGCTAATTGACTGTAGGTTGACCATGAGAAACCACGAAACCAAACTTAACTATTCGCTTCGTTTTGGTGATTTCATCTGGTTTAAAGTTATAACCGTTGTTGTAATTTACCTTATTGATGGAATCCATCTCATGTCTAATATTCATCTTGAAATTCTGAAATTAAAATAAACATGATATATTTCCTATTAAAGAGTAGTAATAATTGGACTGCAAAACAAAAACGGTTTGACAATTATCCGAAGAAAAAAGAACCCAGATAATGTGGCAACAATTTAGCAAACCCGAAAATATGTATGAACTATGAAGGCGAAGTTCGATTCAAAAAACAACCAAAGTGAATTAATTTTTTATATTGTCGTCGGTAAAATATCTCAATTTATATTTAATATACTTATAATTAAAAAAAATATCCTACCTGTTATGTCACTGAACCCGTACTAACAAGTTTTCATACTAATTTTGAAAATGAGCCTCATTTTTTCTGTCGTCTTATCTGTCGTCATAATCCAACTGTTGGTTGGTCTGTTCGTACAAATTGGTCAACATGATATAAAGGTAATTGTTTGTGTATTTTAAACGCAAATTCAATCTAATATATATATATATACCGCCTTTAGAAGTCATGCCACAGTAACCCTTAAGTTATGTTTATTTTATCGATAGTATTCGAAGGATACCATAGTATATTCAAAAGTACTTTATTTCAAGCACAGTT